GTGTTTTTGGTGCTCAGGCATTGTAAATAAATTATGTTCGGAGGTGCCAAGTGTAAACTGAGAATATTCATTCATAAATCCAAAGACTAGAGACTATGCCGTTCAGAACTGCAAGGACACAAACACACTGGGTTCTGTGGAGGATGCACAATTCTACATCCTTGCTGCTGCTGCTCAGCTTTTCAGTAGGGCTGGACCTGTCCCTTCTCTTCCCCTCTGCCCTTGATCTGCTGTGCACCTTCTTGCAGTGCAAATCATCTTTACAAACTGCAGACATCACGCTCGCTTGTTCTGTATTCATTGCACAGAGTACAAGGGAAAGGAAGGCTGTGCAATCTCCTCCTCAAACTTGTACTGTATTCTAGCTTTAAAAAAAAAAACTCGAATTTGTCTTAAGCATAAAAATTCACAATTGCCACCACTTTGGGCATTTAAGATGTTGCACTGAAGAGAGACGATTAAAATATGCTATAAACTCATCAGTCCTTGTATTAGAAATAAATTAGTTCTAATTTTTAAAAAGGAATCTTACTATAATTAGGTAATCTGCAAGAAGATGTCTAAATCAGTTGTATTAATGAGAATGAAAACCGCTTCCAAATCAGGATGGACACTTCCTGAGACTTGGCAGGACGCCAGTCAAAAGAAACATTTCCAAACTCAATTTGGGACAGAAGGAATTCAGATGCTCACTCTTGTCTGCTTTCAGAAGAGAAATAGCAAAATTAAGGATGATTGAAAGAAAAAGAATGCAATTTTCTCATCTCTCTTTCTTTGACAAGTTTGCAGCAATGTGACAGCATGTGTTGCTTTAATTTATCTTTATCAGTTTTGATTTTCTGTGTCTTTCCTGTGGGATAACTGATCGGGGGGTAGAAGGGGGTTAAGTATTTTTAGCAACAGTTTATTAATTTGGAGTGTGACACAGTTGTGTCATTGCACTGTGAAATTTTGTCTACTGTGGTAAAAGCCATCTTATTTCAATGTGGAATGAAGTGCCTGCCTGTTTTCATTTATGATTACTGACATTTAAATAATTATTCAGTTAAGTTCTCAATCGCAGAATCACTTTTCATTGAATACAGATGGCTCCTTCACTAGTCACATACTATGTTTTTCTGTATAGCACTTAATATTTAAAATAAAATTTTGATCTTTTTCGTCTGGAGAGTTTAGTGCAGGGTAGCAAAAGTCCACTGATCTCTATATCTATCTATCTATCTATCTATCTATCTATCTATCTATCTATCTATCTATCTATCTATCTATCTATCTATCTATCTATCTATCTATCTATCTATCTATCTATCTATCTATCTATCTATCTATCTATCTAATTATCTATAATTTTTTGGTGAGGGGCAGGAAGCAGTTTGTACTGAGTTATCTCAACAGGGGCTGTGCAACATTGATAAAATATGTGAGTGACATGCAGCTGCGTGTTTATCAGAACTGGAAAGCCCAGGCTAGCTGCTCATGTCAGTCAACCCCTAGCAGTGTTCTGGCAAGTGCTGCTGCCCCAGGGTTGGTATTCTCCATGGACTGTGTTACCCATGCTATTAATGGCAAAATAGTTCAACTTGTAGACAAAAAAAAAATAAATTTCTCTTTGAAGAGACAGCTGACATGAGTCATGCTGTAAATGGGATTTGATTGAAAAACGCTACTAACAAAAATTAAATAGGCTACTTCAAAATTATTTTTTTTTTAAGAGGCAAAAATGAATGCTTTGAGCTGCAATGACCAGGATTGTCTTCAGCCAATTTTGTTTCCTTATCCCGTAACTCTGGTGGCTCTGGCATGTATTTTGTCTGCAAAAAGAAGACAAAGCAATCAATTTTATTTTAGTGCAGGCACCTTATGTTAGCTTAATTATGGTAGTTCCAAGAACTGGGATTTTTTTTCCCCATAGTGTCTGAAAAGGAAGAGGCAGGTTTGGAGAAAGTATTTCCTGACGGTGTATAAGGCTGTGTATTGATCCATCACAGTGGAATAACCAACGAGAGGCTTCAGGTCCCTTTCCTCCTTCCCATCCCTTATTATGAGACCCCAGTTGGGGGCATATGCTAATGCTGTTCAGGTTATGTGACATGGGAAACACTATCATTCAACTCACGTTTTCAGGTAGCTTTCCCTTGCCCTGCCTAAACACAGAAAGCACTGAGAGCAACTAACAGACTTACAGACTTCTAAAAAAAGTATCTTCCTCAGTTCGTATGCATCACAGAAGTCAGAAAAAAATATTGTAAAAGGGCTGTCTCTGTACTCAGGCTCATCATTTTCCCCCTTCAATAGCATAATTGCTGTTGACTCATATTTCTGTTTACCAGTAGGCTGAAGTTATGACCCATGCTTTATTTAAAAATTGCTATAATATATTATTTCCTGGTCTGAGCATCTTTTACGCAAAAAAAAACGTGGCTCTTTTGCTGTTGCAGTTCTTTTACTTTAGCAGGAGAATATAGCTTTTTTCGTTTTCCTGACAGTTGCACTAACCTACATTTAATTAGTGTCATGTCATTTGGATAGGTTGCCCACAAATGTAAGAAGGATTGGAGATGCCTGCTTTGGTAGTTGGCTTGTTGCCACCTGTGATCAAACAAATCGCTGTATATTGATTCAGTTTCAGCTGACCTGGAAAATGAATTCTGGAAGGAGCACAGATATCGCCCATATTCCAGATTTCTGCAGATGGGGATAAAAGTTGCTTTTTCCCCCTCAGACCTCCAAAAAACATATCCAGCAAGAGCTTAGCGTTATGTGCCGTTACAGTAACATTGATGGGATGCAGGGCCAGACAAGTACAGCTGCTGTCTACGCTACAGATTAATGTCTTTAATTAGACTCTTGAAAGCTTAGCCAATAAAGGCATAAACATGTTAAAAATTGATATTTATTACATTGTAGTTTATACAGTCAGATTCACATCAGATTAAAGCATTAACTATTAAACCAATTCCTGCAAACCGAATTGCAAGCATTTATGATGTCCGTTTTCTGAAAGACTTGTTTCTACAGAAAACCTCTAGTCCACTGACAGCCAGCATAATATTCTACAAATTCTCAGGAAATTATTGTATTTCTTGTTTGCTGAGGGCCATGCCTTGATGAGCTAGCTGTTCACAGCTGCCACTTCCAAAACCATGTCTTTAGGCAGGTTGCGCTATAAATCTAATGGTGCAGTTTTACTACAGTGATGCCATTTGCAGTAACTTTATTCAACTGAAACATGACCTGATCGGGAATAAAGCAAGCAGTCAAATAGATCATAATTATTGTCCATTTGGTTCCTTTAGTAACCACATGCGTCCTTCTTAGATATTGTAGTTTGAGATGTCATACTCCTTCCAGAACTGAGTGCATGGGCTAAAGTTTTAATATTCACCCTGGAATTTAACAGGCAAGGGCATAAATGCTTAGAAAGTAACTAGGAGCTGTGTTCAGCTAAACTCCAGCTAAGCCTCTAAATCTAGTCAGTGGAGCACTTTCAAGCAGGGCTTGGAGTTCTTTGCAAAAGTCTCTGAAACACGTCTATGAAAATTTACTTCAATAGTACGTTATCAATTCTTGTAGTATACTGATCTAAATTCATATGAACAATACTAAATGCTATTCTGTAAGGAATGGCTTCATTAAGAAATTTTGTATTAACTTACTAATTTTTCATGTATAAAATACGCATGCAACCTGGGTGAATTTACAAGAACGACTGAGTATCTTTCATTAATGTATGACTCAAAATTTTTCTAGAACACCATAAAGATTCTTGATCATGCAAATAGGTGCATGTGTACTTTAGTTGAAACACAAAAACATTGATTTCAGTCTGGCTACTTACCTGCTGAAAGATAAGCATGAAAAAATAAAAAAGTCAATCTGATCTTCCACACTCACATAAAGAAACGTACAGCAGTCCCTCCAAGTCAGTGGGTGGTCTGCCACCCTTCTCAAAACGTCAGTGATTTTATGTTTTGTCAGACCAGCATAGGCTAATATTTTAGATTACTCTGCTTCCAGTAAGACTCTCCAATTCAGCTGTGAGCCAAATTGTATTACCTGGTGGGTGGAAGGAACAGCACAAACTGGAGAGAAGGAAAGAGAGAGGGAAACGAGGATTTTGCTAAACTCAAAAGCAAGAAGTACCACAAGCCTCAAGAAAAGTAACACTTCTTGTCTCCATCCTGCTTTGCATAATAATTCAGATAAATAACTTACCTTGAAAGCTGTGGTCCAAATTAGATCCTTGATTGGATGCATTTTGTTGACATTTTTCCTCTGTAGCTGAAGTCAGATTTCAGTTAGTCCACAACATAAAAGCCAATTAGATAGATACCCTTCAGGAGATTTATGATAAATATTTCAGAAAGTGCCTCAAGACTAGAATCAGGTATTTCAAAATACCATGGGAAAGCAGAGTGTTAAGTCCCACTGACTTCCAGAGAGAGGTGGAAGGAGCAATGGTCTGCCCAAAACTACCTTTAAGCTGGGGAGGCCAGTACCCCTCCAATGGTAAGAAATAGGCTTCTCCGTCCAAAGATCCCATGAAACATTCCCCAGCCTAAAGGTAGCCTAAAGCTACCCTGTTTAGCTTGCTAAAGGTTTAAGGCAAGGAGAATAGTAGATTTACAGGTGTGGTTTGGGGCTCAGTTTGCAGATATGCTCAGTGAGAGTGGGTAAATGGTAAATCTAAATCTCCTCCTTCTATGTCATTAGGTGCAATTGAAAGCTACTTTTAAAGAAAAATTGTAGCTGGCAAGACACTCTAAAACACTTAAGGAAAGGTGGTAGTGTTTCTATGAGACACATTAAAGAAAGTGCTGTAGGCAATGCTGAAACATGATTTGATCCTACATACTATTCTCAAGGACTTCATTTCCAAAATGCGAGTGTATCAAGTGGCTTTGTTCCCAAACCTTCTCCCTCTGTTCTGTTTTCAACTGAACCTGTAGGGAAAACAAGAGTGACAGCTTTTACAGATGAGACCTGCATTGTTTTTTCAGGACTACAAGTAGAGGGCCTCTTCAGAAGGTCAGCCAGCATCCAGACTATCAAAGATGTTCAGAAACTCTACAATCAGGGTAAGCTGTCATCATACAGTTGCCAGTAATAGTGTGAGGGCTTTGTTGATCTTGGTTTTGTTGGTGAAGCAGAAGTGCTAGCTTTCTTATAATTAGTTCATCATAAAACCATTTGTAACATAAAATAATAAGAGCACTAGTACAGAAACCTGAAAGATAGCAATAGGCAGTTACTTAACGCTTACTGAATAGCAAGTTGTCAGTTGATGTCAGACCAGAGCTTACAAAATCTGTAGCAGCTAATGAATGATAAGGTTTGAGTCAAAAATGGTCTATATTTTCATAAACATTTGTATTGCCTCTACGCGCTTTACTGTAGTTACGAAGTACAATGTCTCTGTGTCGTTTTGCTTCTGGTGTTTTTCCATGGTTATGGCAAAGAAATACAATTTTACCTAATAATTTGTGAAATGTAGTGAAGTAATTTTGAAAGTCACTGACTTCCCCGTGAAGTCATTTTATGAAATGCCTTTATGGGGAGAATCTCTTATAGCAAGATTAATAAAACTCTATGAAAAATACAAAAATAAAATGCCAGGAGTTACCAGCAGCAGAAAGCCAAGAGGTTTTCTGTTCAAAATGTAGTAGTTTAAAGAAAAAGTAAAACATATGATTGAACACATTTTTTCTTCTTTTTCTCCTTTTAGGCAAATCTGTGAATTTCGATGATTATCATGATATCCATATTCCTGCTGTTATCCTAAAGACTTTCCTTAGGGAACTCCCTCAGCCATTACTAACGTTTGAGTGTTATGATCATATCATCGGAATCACCAGTGAGTATAAATAAGTTTTAGAAAAATTTATACAGCAAGTTGAACTGGACCTGGCTAATTCATAATCACTGCTGTTTGCTAGCCATGACGCAGTTGTGGGTATATAATATTATTAGTGCTTCACTGCAGCCACAGATGGTCAACCTCATAATCTGTACCAGAGCAAAGGGGTCAGGGTTACCAAGACCCTCTCTGCTTTTTACAAGGTTTACTGGTTTATCTATATATCATACTGTATTATTAAGAATTGGATTGGACTTCTCACTGTCAGGGCTCCATTTTTACGTCATGGCACAGCACTGTCAGTCTCAGTGATACAAGTTATGTCAAAGCAGCTTTAGTTTTAGCAGCAGGATAGGCAGAATTGTGGAAACAAAATTTAGTTGGTCATTTGTATGCTTCTTTCCTTTTTTTTCCTTTTTTTTGTGGGGAGGGGATTGTCTTTATTGCAACTGTTCCCATGGGATAACATATTGGGGAAGTAAGGATCTAAAGCCATGAGAAGAGAAGACATTGATTATCTAAAGATCTGGTACCACATGAAACTATGAATTATAAAACTTTAATTATGTGGCCTTTGTCAGGGACTAGGAGTTTATAATGCTGGCAAGGCAACCCCCTAATACATGGGGCTTGAATATCTGAGACCCCAGAATATCTGGGAGTTAGTACGTGGTACTTGTAGAGACTGGTATTTTGCCATCCAGGCTATAGGCAATCTAGCAGGGAACCCATAGGGCTTCCAGTCACAAGCCACAAGCACGCATTTTTCCAAAACCTGCTTTTTGAGGAAATTATATCTAAATGGAGTACGACTTCCAGCAGAGTCTGTTAGCGTACCTCTGGTAACCATGGGCTGATGCTGTTGGCAAAGTGTAGGTTATCATCACTATAATGACTGTTGCTGTTGGGGTAGGGCACTAAAATAATTCAGACTGGGCATAAATCTCAATTGCTACATGTTTGTAAAGTGTAGAAGTACAGCAAGTTTACTCTACCTAGTTATACTGTATTCTAGGTAAAATTCTTATACTGTGCCCATCACTAGCATCTGCACATACTGTTTCATATCATTAGCTTTATTCACATATTTCCATTAAAAAACTTAATCAGGTCATGTTTAGAATCCTCTGAAGTTCTGTACTGTTTTGCTATTTGCAAGTCTGTAGATCACCACCTTCCAAATCAAGGATTTGTCTGTTCACACAATAAATACCTCAGGGCATTGAGAAAAACAGGTCTATTCACAGGAAGGTGGTAGAAATGGAGGAACTAAGGATAGTCACTCAGAACTGGAAAGAATAGGGGAAATTTGGAAAAGGGATGTATAAATGCTAATTTTTACTGAATTAATCTTGTGCTGACTTTCTGGACATGATACTACTTTGTGATAGAGCGAAGTGAAAAATGAGAACAAGTCTGAAAAGAATCTGAAAGCAATGCATTGTCCTTGGAACAGTGGGAGGTTTTGCTTGGCAAAGTGCCTGTGAAACGTTCGTTCCATGTTATTTTTGTTTACTGGCGTTTTAAATGTTGACAGGATATGTTGAAAAGTGGAGTTTAAGAGAATTTGTCCTTGGGCTTTCTTGTTATGCAGTGTGATGTCCACTGTCTTTTCTTGATGCTGTGGTGATATCCTGATTTTAACAGATCTTAAGCTTGAGAGCCAAGCTGGACTTCAGCAAAGGCATATTCTCTGTGAATACAGTGCAGAAGGGAGCTTTGAAGAGGTGTGATCACAGACAGCTGTCTTGGGATGATTTGAAAATTCTCATTCTGTCTTCCGGAAGACACCAGAGCAGTGTGTGATGTATCTTTTACATCTCTTAACCTGCAAACCCAGAAATACAGTATCTCTGCTTTACAGTACTTTGAAATGATAGTGAAACTTTTCTCTTTAGTGTCTCATCTGAAACACTTTTTTAAGGAATTATTGATGGGAGCTGCGAAATAAATTAGCCGAGAGACTGACTAAAAAAATTAATAAGACCTTGAAGCTTGTAATTGTCAAAGAACTTCTTCTTTGGTCATGAGAACTGCTAACAAGTTCCTTTACCCAGTGTTGCTACACTTCCTGCATTATTTACTCTGCAGAAGGCTGACAAAAATATTCTTGGGATTCAGATTATTGTGTCTTACAGCAACTGGTAGCTTTGCAGTAGGCAAAATGTCAATACAGCTCACCACAGTATAGCTTCATGTGTTTAATCCAGAGCTTAAGGGAACGTTTAACATGCTGGAATTTTGTGCATGCACACGTACTTATGCGCACCTCTAGCTGTGTTAGGGAGAGGGAGAGAGAAATGCATCAAATGCAGAAAAAACATCATCACAAATGAGTTGGTTAGGTCAGGCATGATTGTAATCATCAGATCTTTCCCCAAATTGGTGTTAAACTTCCAGTACTAAAATAATGACAATATTCTAGAAGAAAAAAAAAAAGTCACTTGGAACAGCATTTGTAATATTATCCAGTGTCAGTGTAATCTCACCCAGACTGTCTAGATGATGCAAGGAGTTTGGGGTCCAGTTCTGGTTTTGCCCATCTGTAGAAATGAGTTAATAAACCTGCTTAGGTTAATCTGCAGAAAATTCTTACCCGCCCAAGTGGTCATCTCATAAATTTTTGCTGCGACAGAATAGTTTCTTGCAGAATCACAAAAGTGTTTTTAAAGTTAGTAGAGTGCCAAAAGAGCATTTTGGGCAGGACTACGTGTCAGCAAGCATAAAATCGGAGCATTAAAAAGTAGATGTCTGGATTCAGTGTGTGGAGAGATAATGGGATTCAAATCAAGACCTTTGAAAGTCCTCTCTAGCAAAGACCTTATTTTGGCTATTTCACTGCATCGGGAAAATACTCTGGAAGTTAGTCTTAGCCGGATACATGATAATACAGAATAATGATAGGGTCATTCAAAGGGATAACCCTAACTGTTACTGTGGTCGTGGACATTAGTAGAGCTGAATTTTGTGGTCAGTTTTACAGGTGGATATCTAAAGTAATTCCAGCAGACATAAGTAAGGTAATTTCTTGGTAATATTTTGATGTTTTGGAGTTAAGACTGACTTTGTCATTGCAGGTGTGGAGAGCAGTTTACGAGTCACCAGGTGTAAGCAAATCATTCAAGGACTTCCTGAACACAATTACGTTGTTCTGAAATATCTGATATGCTTTCTCCATATGGTGAGTATAGGCAAAATTTCCAAAGTGGTGCCAGTCTTTTCTTTCTAAATCTGTTCTTGTTAATTCAACATTGAAAATCTCCACAGAAAATTAAACTGAAGAATTTAAAAAGTATGGTGAGGTGGTGGTGCAGTACTTGCCAATGGAGTGAACTCAGGATGCAGAACCCTCCAGTTCTAATAAAAGTCAGTGCTAAACAATGATCTGGCCATCCCTTCACCATGAAATTCTTTAGATGTAATGAAAACTTCTGTGTAAATTTAAATGGAACTGTGCCTCTACTGGAATATTTAAAAGTCCTGTCCCCCTGACTCCACATTCACAAATATATGTTTTTATTGATTTAGTTTTTGGGGTTTTTTCCCATTTTGGAGTGAAAAAAAGCGTGAAAATAGTGGTTGTGTAATTTTTGGTGCCGGAGAAAAAACGGGTGAAATCACGTTTTTTTCTCCAAAGTATAAATCTTGAGCAACTAAAACACCAAATAAATTAGTGTCATTTTAGAAAATGGTAGAAATATTAATTAGCTTTAGAACAACAATCAGCAAAATATTTTATATTAAATCTTACAAATAACACTCTCCTGTTTAAAGTAGCCTTTCATCCTGTAATTTACTACAGTGTTAAATGAAAGACTTCGACCATGCCATTTTGCGAGGATTTTTGGTATGCTTCAGGATAAATGAAATCATGTGTCTTTCGTCCCACTTTCTGATTTGATGATTTTTTTTTTAACGCATTTTTGGAAACCCCACAAGTGTGAGGGTTTGGGGAACATCCATTATAAATGGTTCTACAGTTAGCCTAGTGACATCCTTTGGTTGCCAGTTTATGTGCAGGAAAAGACAGTAATAGGAGTGTAAATTTCCCTTCCTTCTGCCGTATCCAATGCACTGCCTTTTCCAGATTGCATTTTTCAAACCCAGGTGCCTAAAATTGAGGATCGTGGTGTAGTTGACACCTAATTAAAGTGATCTAGCCTTCAGAAGTCCTAAGAGCCCACCAAAGCAATCACGTATGTGGGATGATGCTGATTTTCACCAGTGGAGGAATTAGCCCTCAGTAACTGTTCTTGGGCTACAATCATGTTTGCCGTATTCTAGCCAGTAACATATTTCAGAAACAAGTGCATTTAATCCCTTTTTCTATCAAAACACTACAGAAAAGCAAGATTAAAGGAAACGTGTTGATATGACCCTCACTCAGAGAGCACTTGCAGGGTTCCTGTAATACCCACATGTTCGTTTACTGTTGCTTAGCTGAGCTCTAATGCTGTTAAGGAAATCCTCATGTCATTTGCTATTATTTTAGCAACTGATATCTCTCCTCAGTGTTATGAATCGTGTAAGTGACTTTGTTCCAGTAATAGATGCACCATCTCAACGTACTTCTTAAGAGCTGAGCACTCGAGGTGTTAGTGAGGTGTGCAAAAGTACTACATAGTGTTTTCTGTAATTGGGCAACAGAACATAGCATTATTTTTGAGTATGCCTTGGTATGTAAAGCACAGCTTCAAGTTGATACCAGTGCTCAGATCTGCAATTTTTGCTGATCCATGGCTTTTCATCCTTAATGTCTCAGGGAATATTTGCATTTGGAAAGGTCAAGGGAACGTGAAACAATCTAGGAGCTAGAGATTTCTATTCATTGCGGATCAGCGTGCTGCACAAGCTACTACAATTCAAACTTTAACAGAGCACTTTACCAATAATCCTAGTTTTTACCTGCAAGCATCAACCTTCTTATATGTAAGAGGCAATTTAATTCTTCCATGAGCTCAGCCTTGAGTAGTGCAAGAGGTACTTGTGGTAATTTCATGAAGTGGGATGAATTGTAATCACTAGATACAGGTTTTGAACACTCCAGGTTTGATACAGGCTTGTGGAAGAAATAAAAAAATCCCTATTTTCTCTGCAGTCTCAACCCCCTTACTTAATGAAACAGCTCCTTCTAGTCCAAGGGTGCAAGACGGTGCAACTCCTACAGAAGTAAAAGACTTGAATTTCAAAAATAGGTCCAAATTCTTTAACCTTAGATTAGCAGTGATTTTGCCAGTAATGAGCCCAGCATGCTGTGAAAGGTATAAGCTATCCATCTCCACTTTGCAGTGCATCTGGCCTCTAGAAAGGGATTTGCAGGGTCGCCTTGGAGTTGCAGTGGACTGAGGTCCCTAGGCAGGATTGGGCAAACAGGAGCAAGAGGGAAAACAGAGACCGGTTTTCACAAGTCAGTCCCTGAATTATGGCTGTAAAAAAAGTCCGTACTTGCTCAGCTGAGCTCACAAGAGATGAGTGTGCAAAAACAAGTGTTTGTGTTCCACAAGCCCTGTGTTGCACATGCAGTGAAGTGGATTTATGAATGCACATGCAAACTTAAAGGGCTCAAAGTCTTCTTGCAAATTACTTGGCAAAGCACACTGAGGGATACAGTTACCCAGTTCTGAAGCCACAAACCATTTAGTAGAAAACTACAATTGTAGTTTTCCATGACAGTCCAAGGCTAAACAATCAGGAAAGTTTGTAGAGGCAATAATATAATCTAGATTGTGTTTTTTATAACCATGTCTTTGGTTTTGGTACCAGCTGATACAGCCCCCTCTCTAGGCTTACACACTTTCCTTCTGCTGCTTATTTCTGTCCCTGCAGTCATGCCTGATGCAGGGGAAGGGTGGCTGACTCGGCTGAAAGAACCATTGCAAAAACCTGCCAAATTCAAAACGTGGACCACCTTGGACCAACTAGAAAAAATGGACAAGGTTGTGGGGCCCATGAGCTATGCTTCAGATCTGTAACTGAAGCAGCAAAGTTAAAGCCACGTACAAGCTGGAAAAAAAATGCTCTGAGTTAATGTTTTGTCTCAATCGTTTGTCCAATTGAAAAGTGTAATTAGCACCAGCAAAGCTTTAGGGGTGGCTGGAGATGATAGGGCACATTGGGAAGGATTAGATGACTAAGCCTCATGGAGCAGATACAAGCAGTTGGCATGTCTGTAAGGTAGCTGAGAGTGGGGGACAGAAACGTATTTCCAGTCAGTTTGTGGGGGCGTTTTAATATCTAGTAATTTTCCTCTGAAAATGTTTTGTGCAGCTCCTTTCAGCATTGCAACTGAGAAACCAAAGAGTGGTGATGTCCTTATATTTTTAAAACGTGATGGTAATTGGCTGTTTCTACCCTCTGTATTTCACTGTTTAAGTTCATTAGGTAGTGTAGTGGCTGTCTGGGTTCACTCCTCCAGAATCCATGAAGGTGCTGGGATACAAGTATGTGGAATCCAAAAATTGTCCAAATTTTGCTGGGGGGGAGCTGGGTGTTTATTCTGGGATAGCGAAGATTTATATTTTGCATTTGTTGATGTGGCACTAAATCTTCAGTGTTTCTTCCCAATGATGAGTTTTGCAGTGTACAAGTTTTATCTTTCTAGAGGACTTTCTTTCAATATAGGCTGTCATTACTTGGTGATTTTTCTATACAAGTTACAGTGAAAGGGGGAAAAAACCCAACAAACTGGAGCTGTGTAGTTCTTCGTTGTAATATTTGTCTGTGATGTTCAGATGATTCCTTCAAAGATACGATGTAGGTCCTTGGAGAATTGTCTTTTATTAGCTTGTCAAATTGACAGAGCAAGTGTATTTTCACTTGAAACAGAGATGACGGTTACTAACTTTGTGAGGGAATCAAAGAAGGAGTCAGGGGGGTTAGTTCAAATGCTAAAGATGTCATTTGTATTTCTTAGATAGAACGTAGCTTTGGGGTGCAGTTATTTAGAGGGGTAGCCCATCAAGAGGTTGGCTGACTGCATGCTGCCTTTACATGGTCTAGTGTTGGAAGAAAACATCCGCTGCTCATGGTAGTGTTGTAGATGAAGTGGGTGTGTTCATGTCGCTCAAGAAAGAAATCTGGCATTGGAGTAGTGAGGAGGTTGGGATAGTGTGAAGCCTGATCCCCTCAGGGAGGGATAAAGCCATTAGCACTGGTGTGACAAGGCTTCCTTGTTTGCAGCTCTTGATGAGCCGGCAAAGATTCTTGTGGAGAGAGTTGGATTCAGTTGCACACTTCTTGGATCTGCTGAGGAGGTGATTGCTGTGTGTTTTGGAGTGAAGCAATGTGCCATGTCTCCCTTGGATTCCTAAGTGTCAGCCTGATTGATGACTCACAGATATAATCACTGGTTCATTTTATCTTAAGGATTTTCTCTCTCAGGGGAGAGGCTGTGTCATGGGTATTTTTGTTGATCATTTCAACATTGACTGTCTCCTTGAAATGTTCAGAGTGGTGGCGGGTGGGAAGAGATGGTTTCATCTTGGAGTTAGAAACATTCTTTGAAATAGTTGGCCTAAAGAGAAAAAATAGATCTAGCTTTACCAGGAAGTCGCAGGGGTGTTCCTTTGGGCTGAAACATTGGCCTTCGAAGGCAGCGGCTAGGTTAAGCTGGGTGTGTTTCAACTAGCGCTTGAAGACAGCACCTGTACACAGCTTGTGGGATGGAGTGTGTCAGGGAGCACTCCCAAAAACCGGGGGAAGACAGCTGCAACAGGTTTGACTCCTTCCACCCTCCACTGTCCTCCAGTACTATACCACATGAAGCATGCTTCTGTGCCAGCACAGGGTACCTGCCCTGTATACACTTAAGGTACCTGCCTTAGGATATACAGTACATATCTTCGGTTTTGTGCTATAGAAAACACAGTGTGATGGGCTGTAGCTCTCATGTTATTTTAGAGACTTTCAACTGAAAGAAACACCAAAAAATAATTTGTCCTCCATCCACAGGGGTTTCACAGGACAACATTACACAGTGTGGATGCAGCCAGTATGAGCCACTTGACCCAAGAGCCAGAATGCAGTCCCTAACCTTGTTATATTTAGCAGTATCCAAATGCCAACTTCATTGTCCAGCTACCTTCAGGGTAATACCTAGGTCTGTGTCTCCTTGTTAACAGGGCACTCCTGTTAACGTTGTCCTAATTGTTTTCCTTTGCCAGTTATTTTGGTAGTAGTTTAGCTTTTGCTACATTGCTGTATTATAATGAACTATTGTTTGAGCTGATCTCATCTGAATCAGATTAAATGAACAAGATGGGCTTGTTGGTTTTTCTGTAGAGTTAAATAGTGCATTGAGAGCAGTATGTGAAGGTCAGCAGGCTATACGTGGTTCACACTCTAGAGAGAATGATGTGGGTTTTGCATAAGGTCATGAAGCAGGCATTGCCGTTTAATCTGATGACTTTTTATTCTCAAGCTGTGAAGTCAATCCTTTGAAAAGGTGGTTATGGCACCAGTATCTCCTTATTAATACCTCCTTCCTTTATCCAGCCCTGCTTCGTGACCTTAAAAACAATTGAAGCCTTTAATATTTGTAGCAGAAGTAGCATCACAGTAGCTTTGATGTCCCAGGAGGGTGAGGCAAAGATTGGAGGGAAAAATAGTACCTATTACTGGAAAAATTAATATGGTTAGGAAGAAAATGTTACGCTTTTGGGCACATAAGTGCTTCTTCATGTCCCCCAAGGAAAAGACTTCCATCCTGCACACGCGTCTAAAGGGTCTATCCCCTCATGGCTGGGCAAATAGGCTCCTTGCTAGGTAGAACACCAAGGACGGTGGGACTGTGCTGTAGTAGACAGAGGGGAATGAAACCTGTGTTACCGGGCAGAGGACAACTGGAGTTTATGCATATGCTAAGAAGCGTTCACATGATCATAATGTTTCTTAGATTTTCCTCTAGTGCCCTCAGGCTTTGCATGGTACTAGAGAGCTGCCTTTTCATGAGGCTTTATGGTAAGGCAGAAATGGAGAGAGACTGAGAAGTAGAAGCAATAATAGAACTGTTTTCCTATCCCCTTGAAATTGTAGCAGGAAGAATATGTCCTGCACACGCGTCTAAAGGGCGTTATATCCCCTCATGGCTGGGCAAATAGGCTCCTTGCTAGGTAGAACACCAAGGACGGTGGGACTGTGCTGTAGTAGACAGAGGGGAATGAAACCTGTGTTACCGGGCAGAGGACAACTGGAGTTTATGCATATGCTAAGAAGCGTTCACATGATCATAATGTTTCTTAGATTTTCCTCTAGTGCCCTCAGGCTTTGCATGGTACTAGAGAGCTGCCTTTTCATGAGGCTTTATGGTAAGGCAGAAATGGAGAGAGACTGAGAAGTAGAAGCAATAATAGAACTGTTTTCCTATCCCCTTGAAATTGTAGCAGGAAGAATACATGGGAGATTTTGCCCAATAATTCCTTGTTCTGCTCTGAGATGACAGCTTCAGAGTAACCTGTACATCGCAGTTTGTGACTGCATGGTCTTCTGATGACAGATTACTGAGCAACAACTGCAACCATCAGCCTGAGAAGAACTGCCTGAATTGTCTAGGTCAGGAGGAATCAAGAGCACCTTCAGCTTGCTGGCTCTTTACAATAACAGAACTTGTCAGATAGGGCACCCAGACCGTATTGGGCTGTAGATACCAGCCATGCAATGCAGGAGAGCAAAACACACACCAATTCCCTGCCAAGCTCACACAGAGAACAAAAATACTCCTGCTACCCAGTTCTGGGCTCACATTCACAGATAGAAGTAGGACACATCATCCAGGTGCAGAACAGATTTCAGTGCTGTGTATTTTACCTACAGCCATTTTCACCTCCATTGCTTCAGAGGAGTTGGGTGGATGTGGAGGTACTTGGAAGTGAAGTCACGCATCAGTGGGAGGAAAAAAAAAGTCCTTCTAAACCCTTGCAAACAACTTGAGAAGTCCTTGAGGTTTATTCTATAGAGGACTTAGTACCGAAGCAGATGGGATAGCTGTTTGTTTATGCTGTCCTTCCTTGCCCCCCAGCACAGATAACAATAGGTTCCATATAGGATTGAAAACAATTAATTTTCCTAGCATAAGGAAACAATTCAGCCTTTTTGCTTGACTTACTGACATCTTATCTTGTACTTGAGGGACACAGACTCCAGTGGCCCCATAGCTCTAGGCTGCAATCAGCCCTGAGGCTGTTAAGAAGCCACTGATGTACCTGTGGCCAGGGTCTACTCCCATCATTGCTTCATCCTCAATACAGGATGGTGCCTTGTCTCTCGCTCTCTGGGGCACGTGTCAGCATACACCTATTCATGTTTATGTTTTTCCAGGTTTCACAGGAGAGCATATGTAACAGAATGACAGCATCCAGCCTGGCCTGTGTCTTTGGCTTGAATTTGATCTGGCCGTCGAAAGGAACAGTGTCCCTGAGTGCTCTGGTACCTCTGAATCTCTTCACTGAACTACTGATAGATTTCTACACGAACATATTCAACTCCCGAACAGTGCCTGGTGAGATCTTACCTTAATGCTCTCAGAAAGGAAAGTGGAGTATGGCTGCCTGAGGAAAAGGTCTCCATGCCTCAACTGGTGGGAGCTTTATATTCAGGGCTCTCTCCTGCGAAGAAAACTTTCAATACAGAGTAAAGTTTCTATAGCTTTCCGAATACCAAAGATGTTGGGAGAAGCACACTGCTCCGTATATTCTCATCACGTGTGGGAGAATATGTATGTGAACATTCAAAGACCAATAGGTCAAAGTGAATCCCCTTATTAAACTTGAGTAGCTGACAAAACCTGATACGTTAAAAAAAATCATGACACTATGTGCCAGTCTGTCACTTCTTTGGGGATGGAGACCTTACTATGTGGCATTATTTTCTGGGGCCATGCAGAGCTAAGTTCTGGACCACTCCTGAATGTACAGGTTTCTTCTTTTTTTATTTTTTTTATTTGAATACAAGTTTGTTAGAAATTTTCCTATTAAGTTAATAAAAGATGGAATCAATTTTTAAGATACTAAAATTTCTAAACTATTTTTCCATATATTTAGGTGTCTTGTTTTACACACAAAGGTGCGGGCAGTTGTGGCACATCAGGTTTGCAATTACCATGGAGAATAAAGTGTTTCCTGGGTAATTTGAGTTGTGCAGACAGCTAACTAATTATGCTTGCAAATATCTAATATATGCAGTTAATCACTGTAGCCGCACATGCAAAGTGTGTGCAAGTTTTTTTTCTTTTTGTAAGTTCAAATGAGGAGCAAAAATCTTACTTTTTTTTCTCTAATACTTGGAATTTTCATCAGTGGAGTTATATCAGTGAGTGCATTATACAGAATATAGACTAACTTTGAGAAGAGTACCCCTGATGTTTGGGTTGCATGCTTTTGCAGTTTGAGTTGATAGAAATTTGCTCTTCAAATCTGTTTCTCTAGAAAGCAGTAAGAGCAACAACTTGGATAATATACCTAGTATCATTTTTATTCGTTGAAAGTCTATTATTAGTCCCAATGTGAATAATTAGCCAACATAAAGGGAGAGTTTTCGGTGTTTTCTTTCTAACTATGCCATTAATATCGCTTGTATTTGATGAACTCTAACACACTGCTATTTCATTGTTTTAACACTGATTGGTAGTGGGGTGGTGTAACAAAGTTATCGTTATAGTTGCCTGCAAAGCAAAAGAAAATTAACCAGTGGTAAAGAAAGGGTAAGCAGTATTTTCCCTAATGCTCTGGTCTTCCTGCTTCTGTACAAAGCTTACAAAACAGAGGGACTATTTAGACTCCAATAAAAGGAATAGTCTCAGGAGTATAATTTTAGGCATCCCCTCCTCTGCAAACACAGAGCCACTTTTTGTCCTGTAGGTTCTAGCAGGTTGAGGGTTTGTACTTCTGGCCTTCCTCTTAGCAGTTACGAATTGCCTACCTGTGTGAAGGGTGCAACAAAATCTTACTGCAGTGGGTGAAGAGGATTCATTCTTGTCAGCAATTTTGGGAAATAACCAAGTATTCAGAAATGCTGGATATGCCAGGCCTTCATTTGCCCAGTAGGTGTCATCTATAGCATTAGACAATGATTAAAATTTGAAAAATACAGAGGCTTTAGAACAAGATGTGTTAGGACCAACTTCTCACTTCACAGTCGTGTGTTTTCCCCAGTTCCTCAGGTGTCTTAAAGACAACTTTTTGGCTTCTGAATTTCTGTAAGTAATAACCACACATGACTCCTATTTAAGTATAAAATCTTGCATAATACAAAAAGAATAATTAACAAGATTCATGATTGTTGCATTTCAGCAAAATGAGATTGCCAAGGATAAAACTGTCGTAGTTTTGTATTGCCACTCAACAGTTTTACATCTGACAGCGTCATAGCCTGTTGTATTATGAAAAACAAACAGAATTACACTCAGCACTGCTCAGCAACTTGGCAGCATGGTTCTGTGCATCAGCACCCTGTTCTTACAGGGGAGGAATTCGGCCTCTTAATTAAATTAACAAAATTTAAATTAATTAACAAAATCAGAGTATTTTGCCACTCTCTAACCTTGGTCAAAATATATATGCCTTAGTTTTGGTATCTGTAAAAAGAGGGAGCACCTGGCATTAGAAAAATGCTTTGGGATTAAATGCTGATAAGTCCTATAAAATGGTGGTTTTCCATTTCCCCGTGTTCTATTCCAAAAATCCGACAACATCAAATGGCATTTAGTCTTCAGGCTATACTGCATAATGGGAATGCGAGTCCTGAATAGTTTTAGCACAGTAACGTACCAGAGCCCTGTGGGGGTGAAATCCTGAGTTCACGGAAGTCAGCTTTGCTCAAAAAGTCCCCAGAGCCTGGGGACGGGGGCTCCCTCATAGATTTAGTTCTCCAACTCATCCTAGGCTGGGAGAGAGCGGGAATTTGGCAGCAGCAGTCGTGCTGGTGAAGCGAGCCCTCAGGGCACAGCTGCCTCTGACCCCTTTACTTTTACAAGTAAAAAGTACAAGCAACGAGCATCCCTTCAGCTAATTTGCCTGCCTGTAGACACACAAGATGATGGTTAAAACCAGACTCACTCTTTCGGTATTGGTCACATGCCAAACTGCAAGTCTTCCTTTTAGTGCTTTGTAAACTACCATTTTCCAGCAATGTATAGCTCCTCTCATTTAGTGAATGAAGAACAAAATGGCGTTTTCCCATCTCAAGGTGCCTTCTTCCTTTAAAGAACAGATAACATCTGTTATCCACCAGTGGGGGTAATTTGATGCTGCTTAAGAAAAGCAGAGGCTCTGGTTCTGATTGCCATTAGCACTGGTGGGGGCAGAGAGAGGCAGGGGGACGGGGGGCTCCCGCTCCCCTTTACCTTCTTGCCCCCCCCCAGCAGGCAGCCTGAGACAGAAGTAAGGAAGGTACTCACCTCCACCCTAGCCTTTCCCTGCAAGCCTGCTTGTCACGGGGAAGGGACTTTCACAAATCAAAGGCACCTGGGTAGCAAAACCCTCCTAGCGATGAGACCCCAGCTCTGTCCCCCCTACCCCAAAGGAACTGACGAAATCCTCCATCTGCGGCAGAAGCCCCCGATCTCCGTCCTGAGTGCCAGACTTAACTATGACTTTAAATCAGCTCTCATGAATTATTCAGAAGGGTTTGGAGTGAAATTCATGTTAGAGAAATATATGTTTCAAATTTCCTGACTCTAAGAGGAGTCCTGGAGGTGTCCCCTGCAGTTACTTTGATAACAGTTTCTCTTTACAAATGATAATTGCACGATTCGAGCTTTTGTACAGTGTGGCCCTGTGAACTCTTCTCTCGTATCAAAGAACAATTTTCAGATCATTTCCATAGCAAAAAGAAAGTGATTATGGAGATAATCTGTTGGAAACACACATGCTGGATTTCAGTTTAAAACAATAAAATGCAGTCATGGAATGAGAAATCAAGTGTTACCTAGCTGACAATATACAGAGAATAAATTGCCTAAGCATTTTAGTTTACTGAGCTGTTAGGAGTTGAAAATTGGTCCCTATATTAGTCTGATTATCAGGATGCCTCTAGCAACAGGCACCGAAGGGGGAAGGGAATACTTTTCTACCCTGAATCTATGAAGAAATGTAAGAAGATTGAACAATGTCATTAACTGAGGGGGGTCTTTACAGTTCTTACAAAAAACTTCCATAAATGAATATCGCTTACATGTGTGCAGATGATCTGTCTGTGTGCGCCGCTCTCCTCGAGCAGCATCCATCACAGAATCTCTCAGAGCCTTATAAGCTTTAATATATTCGTCTACTCATGAGGAGACTAATAACAGAAAAGCCCCAGATATTTTAGTCACGTTAAATGTGTACTTAGGTAGCAAGTCGAACTTTTAATGGGATTGATGGTACAGTCACCCCCCTGCTTCATTTCCTGAATAGTTTGTCTTCACAACCCTGGAAAATGTCAGTTCGCCAACGCTCCCACTTTTCAAGTGGCCATGGGGGTGTTGGGGCGTGGGGGGAGAAAGTCAGAGAGAGTTACTGCCGGCACCTGTAATTTGTGAAGTGAGAAGCTCATGTTCAGTTGAAGCTCTACTGGCCAGCAGCGTTCCTGCCCATACTCTATTCATTTCTAACATGTTTTTACCTACAAAGAGAAGTCAGAAGCAAACGTACCCTGCTTTAAGTAGGCACACCTCCATTGAAGCCAACGGTATGACTGTAAGAAGTATGTAAATTGTGTGTTAAGTGATACATGTGGCTGGCGTGTGAAAGGTGTTCTGCCTTTCCCGGTGGAGTAATACTCATTCTCGCCGTCTGACGAGTTTTATTTTTGTCTTTATCTGTGCACATCCTGGAAAGCCATTTCAGTGTATTGCACCTAATGTAGCAAAGGATTCCAGTGTCCTCCAGCATCATCTGAGAGCAGTGGAGGATTGTAGTGGGGTGCTACAAATACTGTCTTCTTTCTTGCAAACTGGAAAGCTTGAGAAAGGACTGCCTTAACCGATGAGATTTCTTTGGGCTTAGGTTGGGGGTTTGGACAGTGAACTGGCCTGGAGACTAAGAAGGAAACTTTCAGATACAACCAGGAAAAAAGCCCTTTTCCACAGCAGGCCTGTCAGCACCTAAAAAGTGTCACCCAGAACTGTCACTCTGAGGGAAAAGAATCTTGGTTTGCCTCTCCGAGCTGGAGATACACAAACGCATGATGGTACCCGAGTTCTCCTGTTTGTTCCTAACTGGGGTCTGTTGCCTGTAGTGTTAGGAAAGCCCTGGTAATTGTACGCAGAAGGACCATAGCCCTACTATCCTAGCTATTCCTCTCTAGAATAGCTGGCAGAAGTTCAGCCTTAAAAATAATTAACTGATTGGAAAAATATTTCTGCTGGAACATGTCAACTGAACAAAAAATAAAAGCATTTTCTTAAAAGGCTCGATTTTGGTGCTGTTCTTTCAGAAATCATTACGTTCTTCCAGAAAGCTGCCTGCGTGCCTCTGAGCCATGGACCCCCAGGCTTGTCCTGGGCCCCACTCCGGCTCTGCCAGCCACTGCAGTGC